TGACATTTTCTGCATGTGTCATTTGTGAGTGTTGTATCTTTGAGTATGTGTTTTTAGTATTTTTTAGTATTTATGACCTGATCCTGTATGGCAATCATGAATCCTTCCGTCTCCCCAAAGAGGCATCCCTGATCTAACCAGCTATTTTGTCAACAAAATCCTGGGCCAGGTCATAAGGATGCCTGCCATGGAGTGCCTTTCGAGCCCACGATTGCTTGATGTTGTCTATGCTTTTTATATGTTGTGTCAAGTCTGTATGATGTGAGTAAGTTTAATGATGTGTTATTTGAGTCTGCTAGAGTTACTGCTTTATGTAACTGTGATGTTTCTCGTTTCTTGTCGGAAAACTCTCGAAGTGACTATTTGTTTGTAGTGAAGGTCAATCAGGCCACGTCCGCCATCTTTACATGGATGGGTTAATCTTTCTATGGTGAATTTAGGATGATGATGTTTATGCTTAGTAAGTGTTGTTCTTGTTTTCCTTTGGAGTTGCTCGAGATCTGTGTGAGTCCAATATATAACTCCAAAAGAGTATGTGAGTACTGGGATGACATATGTGTTTATTGCTTTAACTGTGTGTTTTGCATTTAACTATGTTCTGAGAATAGCATTTAACCTACTTTGGTATTCTTTAATTAATCTTTGATGCATATGAGTATGTTCTGTTAGTTTGGCCTGTTGGAATCCTAAATACTTGTATAACTTACCCTCTTCCATAGATTCAATAACTTCTTTATTTCCATGTGCAAAATCTTCTTTCTTCAGAACTCCTTTTTCTACGTGAAGTTTTTTGCATTTGTCTAAGCCAAACTCCATTTGTATGTCCTTGGTGTATAAATGTGTGATTTCTAAAAGGTGATAAAGTTGTTTTTGTGTGGATGCATAAAGTTTTATGTTGTCCATGTACATGAGATGTGACAGCGTAAACTGTGTTGTTTTTTTATGTCTGATATTGTAACCATATTGCGTGTTGTTCAACATGTTGGATAATGGGTTCAGGGCTAGGCAGAACCAGAGAGGACTCAAGGAATCTCCTTGAAAAATTCCTCGCCTAATGAATATTTCGTTTGTTTGTATGGAAGTGTTACTAACCCTGAGATGTAGTGTTGTTCTCCAGTGCTGCATAGTGTTTTCGAAGAATGCAATGAGTGATGGATGTATTTTGTACATGTGTAGAATATGTAGCAGCCAACTGTGTGGAACACTGTCGAATGCTTTTCTGTAGTCTATATATGCCATGTGTATGTTTCTGTGTTGTTTGTGTGCTTGCCGTAGAATGACTGAATCTATGAGTAACTGTTCTTTGCATCCCCTGTGATTTCTACGGCAACCTTTTTGTTGTTCTGTAAGAATGTCGTGTTCTTCAACATGTTTGTATATTTTGTTTGTGATACAGGATGTCAATAATTTGTAGAGTGTTGGAAGACATGTAATTGGTCTGTATTGTGTGGGGTCTGTGGTTTTGTTGTTTTTAGGTTTCATGTAGGTGATGCCCCTGAGTAAGAAATTTTGGCATGTCTTGTGGATTGACGATGATGTGTGTTAGATGTTTAGCTAGTTCCTGGTGCAGTGATGTAAAGTTTTTGTACCAGAAATTGTGAATGTTGTCTACACCAGGTGTCTTCCAGTTGTGTGTTCTGTTAACAGCATAGCGAATGTTGTGTACGTTTATTTCAGCACAGGGCATAGTTGGCATGATGTGCAAGTTTCTGTTCTCCTCCTCGATCCAGCCTTCACCAGCATTGTGTGTAACAGCATTGGACCAAAGAGAAAACCAATAAGTTGTGAGTTCTTCTTCTGTTGGCGTGCCACTGTGCTGTGTATCAGTGTTTGTTTTGGTACTGATTTGTCTGTACTTGAACTCTTTTTTTTGAAAATTTTTGTCAAAAAATGGCCTTAATGACTTAAAAAAAAACAGAATGTAAGTTAAAGTAATATTGTCATTAAATTAACTGTGATACAAATGGTAATAATGAAATTTCCTCAATTACAACATCAGTGGATTAATTTATATCAAATTTCAATTTAATTTATCAGTTTACCACTAGTTACAGTAAAAAATAAAAATACAAATGTCAGAAAAATCTTAATCTTATGTTGTTATCTTATGTTGAAACTAGCTGTTATCCGCGACTTCACCCACGCAGATTTTGCAAGTGAACACCATTTATATTCAGTGTGAGGACCCGAACAGGGGTCGACTGAGAGGTCCAAATGAGGGGTGTTGATCGAAAATTTAAAGTGCTCCTTCTCAGACGCGAATGGAAAGGATTAGATGTCTCAATCGAACAATAGAAATTTTTGTGAAAATTAGTTAAACAATGGAAAGGAACAAAGTCGAGCAAAAGTGACGAGGGAGGAATCAGATTCAGTCGTGACGCTGACCTCTCCCGCACCCTCCATCAGGTCTCAAATTGTCACCAGATGACAGTGAGAGACCAATGGAGAGGAGACTAGGGGGAAAAAACTCTATAAAACCAGCATTTCAAGGACATTTCAGGTTCTTGGATGCATAGTGTTTCTTCTCCTGGACGTGCATGCTCCAGATCTTTGGAAAACAAAAGAACATTTCAGAACTTGTGGAAACATCATTCTCTGGGTGCCTCCTAGCAATCTACAGATTTGTCAGTTCGTTCACGAGAAGCCACCGAAAACCGTGATAAATGCCCCAGGGCCTACGGAGTATTTCACCGTCAGTGTCCATCCACAAGTAAAGACAACAGAACTTTTCAAACTTTATTCGGACTTTATCCGCACATTTTGTGATGCTACCTCATCAATCAAGGAATTTGTAAGGAAATTTCTATGTTTAATAAACAGTTTACGATGGAAACCTGTCTCAGTGAATCCTAACACTCCCACACAATGGAGTTGACTGCTCAGCTATCGGAAAACTCCTCACCCCAATCGGCTGACCTCACATCAGTATTTCAACAACCATAGTAATTGTTATATAACACCTACCGCTGAGAATCAAATGAACTGTTTTCAATTTTATCAATTTTCTGGAACGTTTACAATCATTCTGTAATTGAACCAATATGCAATAACAGATTCAAATTTAAAACGGTTTGAACATTTGGTTAAACAATCTAAATATATAGAAATATTTATAACAATGTCTGAAATGTTGTCAATTTAATACTCAATGAAGACTAAATGTAGTTGTAAATAAAAAAATCTCATGTAAAATAGTACAGAAGAAGCCGTTCTTCCAGTTAAACCTTAATGCTCTTCCTCTCCCCATGGGGGAATTTCAAAAAATCCCTTCTTAGTGTGCATTTCCATGATGAACCCTAACTGTGTACCAAATTTCACCTCTAGGTTCAGTGGTTTGCCCTGGACAATGATGAATCAATCAGTCAGTACAAGTAATTTTATACATTTAGATTATGAAGAAAAAACAGATTAGTTAAAAATTCTTTGATAATAAGTTACAATTGACAATTTACACACTTGCTTCCATCTCATTATAGATTAAACAAACAAAAATTTTAATTGCAAAAGAATCTTTTTATAAATTTGATAATAGAATATCATTCAATCAATAACAATCTTATGGAAAGATTCCTAAGAAAAATTAAATAATGGATTAATTATTGTCTTAAAATCATACATAAAATAAATTTGATGTGCTTTCTAATGCATTTCACATTAAATTCAAAGTTAATGCATATTTTTGTCTAAATATCGACTTTCTTTAAATCCAATTTATTCATAAATATGGAAGTATATTTTAGATATTTGTTTATTATAAAAAAATTATCTTAGATTTAAATATTTAACTATACTTTGATAAGTTTTATTTTGTATTAATTCTTTTAATAACTTTCTTAATTTTTCTGTTATATGCTTAAAAAATAAGGTCAAAATCAATTCAATAAAAACAATAATTCAGTAAATTACCAATTGTAGTTAAAGAATGATATAATTCCATGGTAAATGCAGCAAGAGGTACTTCTTCATTTATTGCCATGATGGCAACTGTGGCAAAATTGGAACCACTTGGTCGAGAATCAAGGTTTAACATTCTTTCAGCTAAAAATAAAAAAAATGGCATCAAATAATTCTTATTTTTATCAAATGCTTTCTTAAACATTTCATTTATATTTCATATGAGAATTGCACATTTATGTATAGAAAGAGAGAAAATTCTCTTTAAAATTTTTAGTCACTAAAAGTTCTGATAAATTACTATTGAATTTTAATGAGATCTGCAATTTTTATACTCCCTGTATTGTAGTTTGTTACAAACATTACAATTTTATGTAAAAGCAATCATAATGTCACATTCACTTTATTGTACTGTATATTTTCTGACAATATTTGACAGCAAATTTTTCTTGTAAATGTAACTAATTGTGATGGTAATTCCAATACAAAATGAAAAAGTTAAATGGATAAATAATATTCTAAACTATCAGTATCCTAGAAAAGAGTATAGTGAATTGATGTCATTTTGTTGTTTAATCATTTAAAAAAAAAAAAAAAAAAACTAAGTTTAACTGTATATTTTCTAAGAATGCAGAGTCTATTTTGCATTTTTATGTAAATGAGAATTATTAAAAACTGCACTTCAAAAAGTTTAAAAAATTCTAGGTTACATCAACTGTCTGTAATGAAATAATTTTGATTATTAATGTGTCTGTTATATGAAACTTTACAAACATTTACTTTTGATGAAACAATTTTATTTTAAACGCTCCAATGTAAAATTAAAATCTAGAGATTTATATTTTTTACTATATTTTTAATTATATGATAACACAATACAATAGAATAGATAGATTTTGCTAATGATTTATCAAATACAAAATTCCTTAAAATAGTTTGATAATTTACTTTGATTCATCATAAAACTTATTATTAAATAAATACCAATAATAAATTATATAATGCATTGAAAAAAATATTTACATGTTAATGTCATTCCTTTTTGTAAACTTCCCAAAATACTATCTCCTAGTAAATGTATTAAGCGTTGAACAATCTAATAAAAATTTTTAGAAAATATATTAATAATTCATTTTACAACTCCAGCAACACTAACCTATTTTTATATTAAAGATTACCTCTGGATATTTTGTCTTAATGGTTAATAATAATTCTTCTGGAAGCTTTGCCAATTCAGAATCCCTAGAAGGAAAAAAAAAACTTAATTTCTAACCTACCATATTCATATAAGAAATTTTTGTCATAAATTAGTACATTTACAAAGGATCTCAATATTAAGAAAGCCCAATATCAAATTTTTATCAGTCATTTAAACATATTTTAAAACTTTGATTATACTTTATAATATTTCATGTTTTTTTTAAAAAAATCTTATGACAAATAAGCCACTAATTCTTTTATTACCTTGTAAACAAAAACTCTTTCTAGTTGTAAATTGGTTAAATTACAAATTTATTATTTTATTGTACTTTGAAGAACATTTTCTTTAATGTTTAACAATTAGTTTTATTAGATCTGATTAATTTTATTTTTTAGTTGCAATGTAACCGTAGATTGACCTGCCTACCAGAAACCCTGGTGTTTCTGGCATGCTGGTCAAGCCTCAAAAATACAGTATTACTAATTGATATGTTGTAATTCTGCCATAAATAAAAACAATTTTTTAAATAATAAAACTTATAATAAGACAAATAAAAATATTGTAATTTTTTAATTAAAACTTTTTGACAAATGAATTACTCAAAATACAAGTAAAACAGCAAAGCCATATTTAGGACAAGACTGTCTCAGAGACTCATTACTAAGTGGAATCACTAACGTTCAAGTGGGTCTCATTCTCCAATCTTCTTCGGTATCACTGGTTTTGAGTGTGATCGTTCAGACTTTGCCGGCCATATCCACGAAATCGTCCACGATGCATTTTCAGTGAAATTAACCTGTGTTGAAATTTCTTTCCATTGTGTGTTGGCCCAGGTTGAATTTTTGTCAATGCATAACTAAAATTTCCCATTTTTGAAAAAAATAATTGTGGCTATTGTACTGTCTGAAAATTTTTGGTATTTTAGATAAACAATATACAGTTTAACCTGATTATAATGTCATCAGATGTAACGACAACCTTAGTGTAACCTGTATGTGGCACGTCCTATCTTGTCCATGAAGTCCATGTATTTTGTTCTGCTGGTAAAAATTGAGAAATGACCCAGGCAAATAATTTACTTAATTTGAATCGGCTACGCAATATTTACAATAGTGTCGAGATATAATACAAATCCAAGATCGAAAGGCTGTCGAATCGATAAAATTTAGAAGTAAAATATTTTAGATAGAAAAATCAAGAACTGATTGATCTCAATTGTCACGAAATTTCTATTTTTGAATTTAGCAAAAGTTTTCTATATCAATAGAATTTCAAAATGAGTATTAGATTCAAATGTGTTCAGATAATGTACAGAAGCTTTGTAAAGTCCTTATCATTTAAAAAAAAAAAATTCTTCTAACAGCTGCAATAAAGGAAAAAATGCTACAAATAAGCCAAGCGATGTGTCACATGAATAGCTAGCTGATTAGAAGAAATTGTTGAAAACTGGATTTTTCAGTAAGCAAGTACTTAACAGTGGATTTTATCTTATACAAAAGAAGAAATAAATTCTGCTATCAGAAATTTCAATTTAATAACAAAGCATGTTAAATCAGCAATGATTTGAAGGTCATACATTATTCTATAATTTAAATTTAGGTTGTCTATGCTTCATTGAAAAAACTGCATAAAACCATTTTAAATGTAATGAAATTTGGTTGTTACACAGCTATTTTGGATGAAAACATTTTGGAGGAAAAATATGGCTATTATGATATTTGGTCCCATGACACAAAGCAAGATATTTGGGATATTTTGAATAATTTTTAAACAAATGTCAATGATCTATAATTTGTTATTGCTTTTGATCTAAAATATATTCATTGAGCTTGTGCCAATATATTGGACTGGTCCAGTAATTTCATCAAACGTGAATGTCAGAAGACCACTCTTCTTCAAAGCATCTGTCTGAAACTTATGACAACTTAATAATTATTTTTCTTCTTTTTAGACAGGATTGCATGATCAATATCCAATCCCAACATTAAATCTAATTAAAAACAAGTTATCCTGGGAAAAAAAATTATAAAAATATAGAGTAACAAAACAGGAATATAATAACAGTACGGATATGGTATTATTAGATACTGATACTAATGTCCTTTGATCAGTCTCTGCATCTGTGCAGAGATATGTAACTATCAAAGTGAAAGTTAACTAAATGTCTTAATAATTGAAAATTGTATCGATGATATAGTTAATCCTTCATAACCTTGCATTATTTTTATATTGTATCATTATAAATTTGAGAGTATCAATCATGTGGAATGTTCTATAAGACTAACTGAAAAAAAATATATAAATCTTACATCACCACTTTCCTACCTTACAACACTGCCACCCTCAGCATTTCCAAACTATGGATCACATAATGTGATCTGCTTTAAACATAAAACTACAAAATATTGTATAAAGAGCATTCCATTTTTTAAATTAAAAAGTTTATTAACTTTTAGTTTTAATAATTTTTCATTTTTATTATTGTACTTTTTAATATCAATTAATTATCACAGTTTTTTTGTTTACCTAATCATAATAAAGATGTAAATTGTTAGTCAAGATTTTGTGAGGTTTATTGGAAAAAAAAGCAAGCAAATTAATCCATTTTTTCTTATTCCATATTTTTAAGCAGGCATATAAGTCTGTTTTATAACAACTTCATTCAGGACATGAAAAATTTCATTACATTAAAAATTACATTGAAATTCATTATATAAATAATCCTGTTGCAGAAGTATCACACAAACTATGTCTTTCATATTAGTAATTATATAATGTACAAAAATATATTAGTATTTAAATAATATAAGTTATTAAACATTACTTTTTATACTAGGTGATCATAATGTACCTTTATCACCTTTATTCACGTAATGTACTATTGCATATGCCCAGTGGCATATGTAGCAGTCCAAATTTGGTATGGTGACATTCCAGGACATTTCTGTAAAAAAAATTAATACCAAAACTCACTATCAAGGAATTTTTGGTGGCGCAAGCAACAAACATTCTATTTGTACAAGACACTCATGCTACACAAACAGATAATTAGGACCTTAGCAAGGCAGGGGATACTATTCAATATGGTCCTCATTCTGAATGTGTTCAATGGACCAACTGTAATTGATTCTTTGACACTTCTCATATGCAATCTGATACTTTCAATGCTGCCAGATTTGTAGCATGTCCTTAATAGAACCACACTTTTTAACTATCTCATAACAACAAAGATTAAGATCCAAATGGTCAAAAGTGTCATAATAGAAGTTTTTTTTTACTAACTTGTTCTTTTATGGAAATGTCTTGAAATTTCACCATAACAAATTTCGTTACATTTGGACTTCTAATTTTCCCTAGACAGCATTACTTAATACATAAATTATTATGTTACCTTACTGCCATGATTGTTGTAGATCTTTTTGATTCAGTCAGAACTTCTACCTATTAAAAAGGTACTCTAATGAAAAATTTATTTTTAATAAAAATAAATGCAATGTAGTTGAATTACTTACAACTCCAACTAGATCACCTTTACCATACTCTCCCACCAGTTCCTTTTTTCCATCTCTCCTTGTCAAAACTGATCTTAAACGACCACTCAATAAAATATACATACAATCTGAATCATCATCTTGCCTGAAACAAAATGAGTGCATAAAAAATATCAATTAAAAAATTTGAGATAAGACAATCTTAATTTGACTACTGAAAGTGTTGCTAAATCTAATTTTATATTTATTTATACATATAAAATGCCAATTTATTATGCAAAATATTTTAAATCTTCCGAAATTTTTACCTGTAAAGTGCCTTTCCCGATTCTATATTTATCCAGTCCAAGGCAAAATCTATTTGACAAACAAATGGAGATAATCTTCTTATTACAATATGAGCTAAATTCAGCACACTCACTGGAGTATGATGAAGAATACTGAAAAATTTTTATTTATATTCAATTTTCCAGTAATTTAAATCACTCAATAATTTAGAGAAATAATTCCTATTAAAATGAAAATTTTTCACTTTTAAAAATTATCAATACAAACTTTTAAACAGAAACAAATATTACTACTACGTTTTTCATATAACATAACATTAACATTGATAAAAATTGATATTTTAAAGATTTAAAATTTTGTTAATTATTTAATTTCAGTGAAAGTTAAAATTTAAACTTACTCATAAACATGATCTTTAGGAATTATACCAATACGAGCTGTATGCCTTGTTTTAATTGTAAATAATGATGGATCACCAGTTGTAACAGCAAGTGCTCCAACTATATCACCTGAGTGTGCAATAAATAAAATACTCTGAAAATAAAAAATGTTTCATCATAATTAAAAGTAATGATCAAAATATTACATGATCAAAGTATATTATTAAATTCATATACAATTAAGGGGAGACTATCCACAGTTTTGTGAGATTACTTATTCTTTTTTTCTCTTATAGAATTATTGCAGAGAAATTTGCGTATATTGTCAGGACAATCAGTTATTGAATGCTTTTCAAGTGATAGCTAAATTTTCTAATTTAGAAAAAATTTGAGAATGTGTTTGGTATTTCTATTATTATGTTTGAGAATTTTCTGGAGCTTATCAGTAATTTAAGTAATTTTGATTTCATTAATTTTGTTCATAAGATTAAATTATTTTTTAGGTAATCTTATGTTGATTTTATGTTATTTTAGTGATCCTTTGTACGGAGTGACTTACATTGTTGTTTGTTTTGCATATTGAAGTATTCAATTATCGTCGAAAGAATTGTGGCATTTGCTTCCGCTTTAAAAGCGTGATCGTGGATAAGAAGTATTGGGAGACTATCCACATTTTTGATGAGATTACTTATTCTTTTTTCTCTTATAGGTGGGGGTATCTATTGTTTATTTATAATGATGTTTTTTGTTTGGATAGTTCTCCCCATGATTTTGTTTTGTTATATGTTTATATTTGGACATGTTGTTTAAATATATATTTTGGTATTTATAATATTTGTATAATTTGTTTGTTTTATTTATGTAAATGTTAATTTTCTCTGTAATAACGAAAGTATTGTTATATATTTCAGTGTGTAATGTATGTAACAATTTTTTTGTATTCCCCGCATCATGGGTTTTACCCAGTATGGCTAAATAAATTAAATTAAATATACAATCAAGGTTTATAGTAATACACATTGGACAAAATAATCTGAACACTTATGGCTCTAATGATTTGGGCAACAATATCTTGGCATTTGTAAGGACCTATTGGGACACTCAAAGGGACAATCATGGTAATTATGTTGAACTTCTGAGCAATCAACTCCCTCCCATGATGAATATTTTACTTCCAACTGAAGATCACTGTATTTCTAGTTGGAAAGAAAGTTTGAGTACCGTAACAAAATAAAGCTGTTTTTTGTATTAATGTATGCAATGTTGTTTTTATTTTATAGTCAGATTCTTTGTAGGTTATGCAAAATCTTAAAATGATTCACTTCTGTTATCTATGCACTCAGGAGAGATGAGAAAATTTATGTACAGTGGTACCTCATATGTCAAATGACTAACTTTGAATGCTTCAGAGTTTGAATGATGCTTCAAAGTTCAAACTGCATGCATAGTGAAAAAGCATTAAGTATAAATATAAGCTTCTGAACCAAGAATACAATCTCAAATTAGTAATAATGCATTAAATTTCACAACGGTTACAATTAAATCATACTTTCTATTTATTTATTTTTTTTTTTAAATTCTTTTCGTCCTGTGGTCACTAAGAGGGCCTCTATTAGCAAGCCCATTATGGGTTCAGCCAGACCCATAATAGGGCAGCAGGGAGGTGAGGGATGGGGTCAAACATATCCAGACGGACCACACACTTCTATTTTAAGTAACAACTGTTAAAAAAAATATGCAAAAATTTTGTTTAACCCAATATCATCTTTACTTATTAATCATGGCATCTACCAAGAAGTGTGTGGAAACAACAAAATCTAACAAGATGAAGGCTGTAATATTGATGATTCAGATGAAAAAGGAACTTACTGCAAAGCATTAGAGTGGTAAATGTGTGGGAGATCTGGCAGCCATGTTTAAGATGCTAAAGTTAATAGCATTTACTGATGATTGTTTTCATTTTATAAGACAGTATTTATGTATTCTATTTATTGCACATGTTTTAATTTATTATTAGGGCATTTAATTGTTATTTTTATCTTAAATTATACATATTTGTTGTTTTAACTATCAAATTGGGTATCATTTAGAGTCTGGGAATGGATTAATTCACTTTCCATTGTTTCTAATGTGAAAAACTGCCTTGAATTTGAACAACCTCCTGAAATTAATTAAATTTGAAGTATGAGGCACCACTGTATTGCCTTAGAACTATGTGGTTTATACATTCCTTTTTTGAACAAATTACTTTATTTTACTGTAAACATTGCAGTTGAATCAATGCACCTTATGCATATGCTCATGCAAAGCTGAAAAGATCTCTTACATCTGGATAAATGTTAAAAAGTGTACCTCCTGTATATACTTAGTGACAAAAAGTTATGCACCCAGATAAAGTCATCCAATTAATTAAGTACTACAAAATCCTGAATACAACTAGGTCACAAATATGTATGTAAATGATTCCTGTTGTGGTCCAATTGCATTAAAATTGCTACCTCAGTATCCTAATAATAAAACCAGCACATGCTCACTGTGGTCAAAATTTTTGCTATATCTCTTGTTTCGAGATCTTTAAATGCCAGGCAATGCATTCAGACACCCAAGTAATGGAATCTGAGAAAAGTTGCAATCATCAGAGTGAAGAAAGAAACGTGACATTTTAATGATACACCAACAACTGCCATAAATCATCAGGCTATAATTTGGAAATAATAATAAATTACAAATGAATTTGACACTAGAGGATTAGGTGCCACCTCATTAAAATTAATAATTATAGTTTTTTTTTCTTTCATATTGTATCATTCATTTTTCTTTTATTTGAATTAATTATCTTTTATTATACGTGAACTTTAAATACNTAATTTAGATTAAACTGGAAGAAAAAAAAAATCAACAATGCTTAAGGTTAAATATACTGGAAGAGGCGATTGGACTGAAGGTCTGGATAGCATAACTGGCAATGTGTCCCACGGTAAGTGGGAGTTGCAGGTTCAAGTCCCTCTTCGGGCCAATTCTTTTCTTCCAGTTTAATCTAAATTATTTAATTAAAAATTATAATTATTAATTTTAATATGAGATGGTTCCTAATGTCTCCCTCTATTGTCAAATTCATTTCTAATTTATCATCATCATTTCCAAATTATAGTCTGATGACTTACACCAACAATAATTTGGAAATGATGATGATAAATTAGAAATGAATTTGACAATAGAGGGAGACATTAGGAACCATCTCGTATTAAAATTAATAACTGTAATCTTTCTGACCTGACCTGACCAGCTTGGTCAGGTCAGAAAGACCCAAATGGATCTGACCAAGGTGATGGGAGCAGTAGATACATCAGGGCCCTTAGTCTAAAGTTTTTCATGTTACAACTCCCAACGTGTTGAAGGTGTCATGTGGTACCATCTCACACTATGACATCAAATTGGTAGTCTCGAGTTATAACTCACATGTTTTCCCATATCACCATGTGAGTTCCTACTCAATTTGAGTCAAGCATGTGAGATCTCTACACTAAAGTGAAAATGGCTGACAGATATGCTATTCTGATTGCAATTGAAGCATTAGAAAGAGCTGAAAGACGTTTAAGAAGACAACAAATTTTTCGACCATGAATAGATGACCATTTCTTTTCGTGTCAAGTCAACACTAATAAAAAAAAATTTAATTCATAATTGATAAAATTATACAGCAAATTTTTCCAAAAATAAAAAATATCATCTAATTCATCGAAAAAGAGAATTAAAATAATAGTAAATTGTATGTATAAATTATTAAGAGCATAGACACTATATTAAGATTATTTATTAATCAGAAGTACAGTAGGCCCCCCCTATAAGACGGGTTTCTATAATTACGATTCCTATAAGACAGCGAAAAAATTGCGACGGTATCTGTAAAAAATGGTAAACAAACTCCTATAATTATGTAAAACGTCATCGGGCAGCCGAACTACTTTCTGCCGTCAAGGGCCACGCTACGGAGAGATTACTATCGTCTGTACAGTAGTATATATAAAATATATATAAATTAGGTACTGTACATATAATTATACAGGTAACCCCCGTATAACACGGCACTTCTATAGCACGGATTCGCTCTAACACGGTTCGAGAATTGGTACCATCCCCCGTATAACACGGCACTTCTATAGCACGGATTCGCTCTAACACGGTTCGAGAATTGGTACCATCCCCTGTATAACACAGTACTTTTATAGCATGGATTCACTCTGACACGGTTCGAGAATTGGGTAAAACACTCGTACAACAGGAAATGTAATAAATTTTTACATACTTAACTAATAATAGTTCACAAAAATTATTATTTTCGTAAACTATTAGTACTTAAGTATGTAAATTTTCTCTTCTCGCCTTCTGTCGATACAGGTGGTCCTTCTCAAAACTTGTTTCAATGTTGCCAGATCGCAACGCTTCTGCTTCTGATGTTGCCGAATGTTTTTCCCTTATTCCATACTTGCTTTATTCTTCATAAGTGCTTAGCACCATATAAAGAAATTTATAAAGACCTTTTAACTAGAAGCNATAAGAAGCCGACTTCCAGGAGCAATCAATTAATGTTTTTTTAAACGTATTTTTAATACAGTGGAACCCCTATAAGACGAGTTCCTATAATTACAGTTCCTATAAGACGGCGAAAAAATTGTGGCGGTATCCGTACACAACGGTAAAAAATCCTCTTATAATTACGTAAAACGTCATCGGGCAGCCGAACTACTTTCCCGCCGTCTAGCGCCACGCTACGCACAGTTTAGGCGGTTAAATTGAGTTTAGTTTCGTCTGTACATATAATTATATATAAATTAGGTACTGTATATATAATTATATATTAACTTAATTTATTGTAACTATATTATAATTATATATATATTTGCCATCTAGTGCCACACTACAGAGAGTTTAGGCGAACTATTGTCTGTACAGTATGTAAATTAGGTACCGTAAGTCTAATACAGTACTGTAATTTTATACATTTTGTGTGAAAGAAACATTCCTTATTCAACTGGTGATTAAAATTATTTATATTAATGATGTCTCCAAAGTTCAACGAAGTTTTCGCAGAAAAATAACATCAGAAATCACGGCCGCGGTTTGCTGAGCTGTTCCGCAATGAAAACAAGCTTGAGCAATGGCGATGTCGAAAGGTTCACATTCGGTAAGTAATCCTGAAATTTTTTGTTTATAGTGTAGTTTATACAGATTATTTCAAAAGAAATATACGTATTTTGGAAATATTGAGTCGGATTAATCTAGAATTGATTAATTTTATGGAAGAAAACTTTTCAAACAGCCGTAGTCCGTAAAGTGCATACGTGTCGGGCTGTGATTGGCAAGGACTCTTAAGAAATCAATTCATAAAGGACGGAACGTATCTACCGTCTTATAGGGGAGGTCGACTGTATTAAGTTCTGTTAATAAATAATCTTAATAGACAGAACAATTTAAGAAATAGATCAAGGAAGAAAAGTATATGAAGAAAGGATTAAATTAAAATACTTTTTCCATTACACAATGGATTTTTTAGCTCCAACACACAATTTTTCAACTAATTCTCTCCACAAATTGAATTGTCTTTTCCTCGTAAATTCATTGTCAAATTTTCCACTGTTCATTTTCTTATTATTTTCTATATGTGTTACTAATATTTCATTTTGTTCTTTTCGCTTTTTTAAAATAAAACATTGAGGGTTTCCATTTTGTTTCTGCATACTATATTCCTATAAGACAAAACTTTTAACTGTAACACGTGTAAACTAATTCACATTAATTTGTTTACAACTTGTTACACTCAAGTTGATTGGTCAAATCATTATACAGTAGTCACAAACCCAGATGCATTGTAAATAATCCCATCATGCTTAACAACATACGTAAACAATTGAGTATGACATATTTCCGCTCACCTTTTGAGTTTGCTTGATGAGTCTAACTCGAGACTACCAATTTTGTGAGTCATAGTAACACAAGTGAGTTTGATGACATCAATTCGAGTACAACATGAAAAACTCAAGACTAAGGACTCATATACATGGCAGGCAAGTTCTGGACACCCAAGATATAACCATTTTATTGTGAACAAGCATAAACAACTGCAATGGCATGTTTGTTCACCATTCAGAAACCACTGGTGCATACATTGCAACAGAATTCAGTCTATCATTGACAATCAACTAACAGAAACAAATTTACATGCACAGTAATTCTAAAATCCTTTCAGTAGCACCCCAATACTATCAGCTTCATTTGTAGTCATGCCATAACAGGAAAATATGAATTGCTATGAACTGGCAATTATTGTTTATAGTAACAAATCTCTGTTCTGTTTGGGAATAATGATCACTGGTGAGCACTTCACACTAAAACAGTGTAGAGTGGTACACTGTTTCATATGACAGTCACCTCTAGGTAATGGTATGAGGAATATTAACATTCAGGAAATGCTGCAAACATACATTTCCCAGTAAGATAATACTCAGCCACAAACAATTTGATATCCAGAAAAATTTATCCATGTTTCCATACTTATTTGGCCTGTTCAGACTCAAGATTTTTCTCATTGAGCTTTTATGGGACCATGGGATGCTTGCTTCAATCATCTACAAGTGTGGAGGATGTAGAATGGCAAGTACAATACCTGTGGGCAACTTTGTCACAGGATAATATAGGGTACCTTTATACCTCGATATCTGACAGTATTGCCACAGCTATCAAGGCAAGAGACGGTTCCACTAAATCAATGGTAATTCTGTGCATTCTTTTAGATCAAATAACTAAACCTATAACTTCATGAAAAGTTTTAAAATCAATATATGAAAGCTTTCTTCGGATACTTTATTCACATAGATCTAAATTATTAATGTGATCTGTTTCCAATGGATATGACTGACACACACACACACACACACTTGACCCCCTATAACACGGTAGATATGTTCCGTTTTTTATGAAATTCATGTGGTACGAGTCCTTAAATACAAGAGCCAATCACAGCATGGCACGTATGCAGTTTATGGACTATAACTATTTGAAAGGTTTTATTCCATAAAATTAATCGATTCTAGACTAATTTGACTCAACATTTTCAAAACACACATTTTTTGGGAATAATCCATATAAACCATGCTATAAACAAAAAATTGTAGGATTACTTACCGAGTGTGCACCATTCAATGATGTCATCGCTTAAGCTTGTTTTCGTTGTGGAGCAGCGCATCGAACGGCGGGTACGTGTTTCCTGATAAGTTATTTTTCTGCGAAAAATTCTCTGAACTTTGGAGACATCATTAATATAAATATAATTTTTATGGCCGTTAAATAATAAATGGTTTTTAGTAGGTCTGCTGCTCGTTTAAACTCAACAGTTTGTGCAATATCCGCTATTGGTCAAGATTTGACCAATCCTGTCGCGACATGAGTCAGCGATGACATTTTACCATATTTTACAAGTTTCTTTTAGCGTGTTTATACGAATATGGTCGCAAGTTTTTGCAGTCATATACGAATCCACATTATATATGAACCCGTTTTATAGGGGTCTACTGTATACATATATTACATATATATTGAAATATCCCTAAATAGTATTATGATTATCAAAATTAAAAAATAATAATAATAACTGTAATAATGATAATTTTAAAGTAACTTACATCTTCCATTTTATTTGCTGTTTTTTGTGACACAAATAAAGAACCAGACAATACCAAAAATAAATCTGCATGAAGTGAATCTTCTTGTGTTAAACAAACATTTGGTGGATGTTCTTTTACTATTACATAGTCCTTGACCATAGTTTCATCCTATTGTAATAAAAACACATTTTAAATAAAAAGAATACTTTAAATTTTACTATAGTAATAGCAATATTTGGACTAAATTTTAAAAACTTTAAATTATTAACTTCATAACAATGAACTAATATGTTTATGTCTATTGCAAATAAAGATATTCAAAAATTGAAAGATGTATGTCAAAGTTCAGTACTGCTGGAAAATCTCAAGTTTTAGAGATAAAATTTAACATTAAATTAATAAGAAATATTTCCACAATTTAATTATTACAGATATATAATAATCATTTAAAGTTATAAGTGATATTTTATCAATTAAATACATATTTTTGTCTAATATATTTTCCAATATTGATGTAGAAAAACATTGTCTCAATATGCCAATAACTGATACACCAGATTATGAAAATAAACAATAATGGCAAGAGTTGTTGCTTTTGCTTTCTATTTAGCAAAATAATCTAGAAATAATTGCATAATTTGCATAATTTTTATTAAGATTTATCAGATTTAATTAGTCCTATGAATAATTTTGACCCAACTATTTATAACTTATCACACTATACCCTATACCTTTTTTTTGCCGGAATAGTTTTATTTAAAAAAAAAAAAAAAAAAAAAAAACTAATGTTTTCGGCCTACTCTAGGCCATCCTCAGGTTTAACGATAGAAAAAGAACATCGGTGTTCCATTAAATAGAATACATAAATTTAAATACAAAAAATAATAACGGAAAAAAAACAAGAAAATAACTGAAAAAAATAATACAAATACAAAATGAAAAAAACAAAGTCAGACATAGTATTAGAAAATAATAAATAAAAATAAATGCACTAGTTAATACTTTAGATAAACATTGTAGGAAATTGTTAAGGAATAATTGATGAAACAACTAACTATGCCCTTTTTTGAACAGAATGTTAATGCCCTTTTGAACAGAATGTTAATGCCCTTTTGAACAGAATGTTAATATCTAGAAAATGGATTAAGGAACTTTTCTGTTTCATTCTCAATTTTAGGCCGCAGTTATTGTTTATCCTTTCTACGAATTCATTTATCTTACAATTATTCTTCCATAAAATAAGGACATCGTCCACACATCTTTTAAAAAATACTATATTTTTTGAGGGCATTTACTTACCAGTTTTTATATCAAACCAATGCACAGCCCGCTTTACATCCCATCGCAATCAAATGATCCATACCGTTATAAGCTGGCAGCATTCCAAGCTCTAATCAGAAGAGCCTTTCTATATTGTGACAGTGTTGTAGACAGAGCAAAGGAAATTGACAGAATCGTACAAGTAGCCAAAGCCCTAGGATGCAAAAAAGGCACAATAGCAGGAATAGTTAAAAAATACGAGATAGGTACAGCAAGTTCAAAACACGATCCCAGTAAAGTCAAAGTTTACTTATAACAAGAATACAAAAAGCATTATGAAAGAAATTGCAAACCGCAATGAGACAAGAATGGTCCTAAAAAGAGCTCTGAACCTGTATACAATCTTAAGAAATGATAAAGATCACATTAAAAAAGAAGAAAAAGCAGGAGTATACAAAATTTCTTATGAGAACACACAACTAGAAATAAAAAAAGACTACATTGGAGTCACAACAAGAAACTTGGGGATAAGACTTAAAGAACACAAGTATGACGTTAGAAAAGGCTCCAACACAATGGTACTTTTCCAGTTCGCGCAGACCCAAGGCTCGATAATAAAATGGGATGAAGTGGTTATTGTCAAACCCTTGCGCTCCCGAACGCTAGCAAATACAGCTGAAAAAAATTGAAATTTACAAGAGCAAACTGGAAGAGACATGCATAAATGCAAGGGATGCAGAAAGCCTACCAACTGCATAGAAATTTATAGTCAAAAAATTTAACACGAACTCGTAGTCTTGCCTTAGTTTATAGTTAGTTGTTTCATCAATTATTCCTTAACAATTTCCTACAATGTTTATCTAAAGTATTAACTAGTGCATTTATTTTTATTTATTATTTTCTAATACTATGTCTGACTTTGTTTTTTTCATTTTGTATTTGTATTATTTTTTTCAGTTATTTTCTTGTTTTTTTTCCGTTATTATTTTTTGTATTTAAATTTATGTATTCTATTTAATGGAACACCGATGTTCTTTTTCTATCGTTAAACCTGAGGATGGCCTATAGAGTAGGCCGAAAACGTTAGTTTTTCAATAAAACTATCTCAGAGAAAAAAAAGTGTAGTGTGATAAGTTAATTATTTGCTGAGCACGTTATGTTTAATGTCAACTATTTATAAATTATAATCAATTTGTATAAAAATAAACAAGCTGATGTAAGCCAATATTAGTTTTATTGTCACTGATTTCCTAAAATTTGAAAAATTTCAAAGTATATATATGTGACATTCATAAATATAATGATGGCCAAAAATCAGTTAGTCAGAAAATATTAAAAAGATTATTTTACGAAAGGTTACAAACAGTTAGCAATATGTTCTTGCAATTTACTCTTATAAATAAGCAACTTAAATCGCAGATAACATGTAATTGCTACAAACAGATTTTAACCATGCTTAATTAAAATAATCTTATTTATGTTAGTTAACTGGCTTTAGATTACTCATGTTTATTTAAAGTTCATACAGTAGAGCGTCAATTTTCCGAATCAATTGGGGACTGGGGTTGTCCGGATAACTGATATTTCGGATAACTGATTTACGTACGAAAAAATAGTTTAACGTATCCGATGTCGAAATTTTTCTCCGTTGCGTGTCGCTTCGCGTTGAATGTTCGTCAATGTTAAGCCTAACAAAGACTATTCTATCGTTAAAAATTATTTTTTTATTTTGTACAAACAAAATAAATATATTGAAAAATATAAAAATAATAAAAAATTATACGTCAGATGTTAATTTAGTATCAAAAACGTAAAATATTTGAGTAGCCCAAGACATAGCCAAAGATTGAAGCGCCACAGCACTGGCGAAAATTTAAATTTGCCAACTGGATTTCTTTCGGATGATTGACGTTTCGGATGATTGACTTTCGGAAAATCGACGCTCCACTGTATTTATAAATTTAGTTTATGAATAGGTTAACATTTTTTATTACGTAATTTGTCTACAAGTACTTATTTTATTACTAGGACTTATTATACTGGTCACCAGTATAATAAACATAACATAAGGACACAAAGGCATATAATTGAGATTAACATTTTATTCATAAACTACTAATTTTTTTTGTTTTAATTAAGAAATAAAGTTACACATAAAAGAATGGTTAACATTAAGGAGTTAAGGAATTGTTAATATGAAATGTGATATGGTTTTACTATAGCAATTCATTCATCTTCCTTCCATTCCAAATTTGAAACACTTATGACAAGTGTTTTTTACAAACATTTGTCCAAAAACAAAAAGATAATTAAAGTATTAAATCATTTGAACTAAAGAATAAAGCTAAATGTAATTCTATGACCTATTTCAAGTTACATCTGTAAGAAACCAAGTCCGAGCATTATTTTTAGTTATTTTTATTTTGCTTTTTATTCAATTTTGTTTCGGGGTTATGTTTTGTTAGGACAAAGATTTCCTCACCATTCACCTTAAAAACTTAAAAATAGAAGAGAACCAACTCACCAACAAAAAAAAGGCGCCGTAGAAAACACTCGCACTCCTGAGTGGGAAAAAGTAAGTTTGCACCGAGGAAGAGGGGGGGGGAGACCCCACAAGCACAACTTAGGAACTTGTTAAACCTTAACGAAGAAAACATACCGGAAAGTGTCAAAAAGAATAATGTAAAAGGTTAGCAAGTATTGTCGGGAAATAGGCTGCCAGGCAGAAAGGTAAAGTTTACTGTTAGCGATAAGTATGTAAATGAGGGGAGTGATCTCAATCAGAATTGTGACGTCACCTCATAGTATAAAGTCTGAACCTCAAGTAAAGATGACCAAGATGAGCTTCTGTTAGCAACGAGCATGGTGAGCTTTGTAGCAGCAAACGACAAGAGGTGTCTGATAGCAATAAAGTGGTTCCAAGGCAATTTGAAGTTATTCGATTTGTGGATCAAAGATTAGAGAAAGTCTTGAGAGTTGAGGAAAAAGGTTCCTAGTATATTGACATGACGATTAGGACCTTAGTTCATAAGAATTGTTTTATATGAGTTAAGTCTTTGAATTTTTTGTCGAGTTCCAAAGGGGAATAATTTAAGTTAGTAAATAAATTGATTTGAGTTTTGTCAGGTTGATTCTTATTAATTTTTTTCTTTGAATAAATTTGTTGTTGATTGTTACGAGTACTAAATTTTTGTACATAGTCGTTATTAGAATTATTAAATATTGAATTTGATTTTGACTAACTTTGTCATTATTTAATTCGGTGCATGCTTAAAGTTCAGGCCTGTCACACTAACACAAATCCGTGTAAAGTACCCATTAGGTAACAGATATTTCCGGCACAAAGTCATGTCACTAATCATTGTAAAAGGCGTAAAAATAACTTAGTACTTTACACATCATCTTACTACTTTACCTCTATTCCCAATTGTAGCATAAAACCTTCAATAGCCATTTTCTTAAGTTCTTCTTCTTCAGCTGCCTGTACTTTGTCTTCTGGAAAATAAAAACTAGTCTTTCTTTTTCTAACTTTTACTGAATCAGAAGTTCCTGTCATTCCTGATGCACCCTATAGATAAAATTAAGTGAATGAAAGGTTTAAAAACCTTGGAAACATAACAAAGTTTCATTGAAATTTAATGTTATTTTTTTAAATAACTGCAACAAAGAATATATATATAAAGACTGATTTAAATGAAGCAAACTATAAATTTAAGTAATTTGTTAGTGTTAAATTAATTTTTATTAAAACAAACAACTTTTTTTAAACAAACATAATGGATGCCACTAATTGTAATCATGTAGGGATTAAGTCAATGTAATCATAGTGACCAACAACTACAATAACCAGGGCTGTGGAGTTGCGTAAAAATCTACCAACTCCAACTTTTCCTTACCATCCGACTCCAACCAGGGATAGACTTGTTACCGAAAGAGACCCAGAAATTCTGATGTCATCACGTAACCTCAGAATAAAAGGTTCAATAAACAGAGTTCTAATAAAGATAGAACGTCTGGAATATAGTTTTATTCCAAAGCTAAAAGACTTCTCTAAGTAATAGGCCTATATAAATATGTATTCGATAATTTTTACTTTTCCGGCTGTTATACATAACAGCTGGAAAAGTAAAAGTAAATATAACAGAGGAAAAGTGTAGTGCTCGGTCAAAAAATGACCCCTCCCAAATTTTTACATTTTTGGACTCAGGACACCTTGAACTTGAGATATGCAAGAGATTTGAGGTTTTTTTTATATGTGTGTATGTTAGACTGTGTGTGGGGGGATGATTTTGTTCACCCTGTTTGAAGTCTAATAATTTCTGTGGTCAGAGTGGTCAGAATCAGAGTCGGATGGTTTAACACAGGAGTAGGTTATTAAGTGTCAAAGTGGTTGAACTAAATCATGTCCCCCATATACATTCTAACATCTTAGGCGAGAACGTCTTAACGAGTTTTACTGTACTACTATAAAATGCAAAAAAGCTTACTTTGAGGGTAGAAACAAGTTTTATTTTATTTTTTTAAATTTTGAACGCTAATAACAAGTAAAATATTCATTAAGAGATATGACACATGACCCCTTTTATGTCTTAACCGTGTTGACCTTTAATTAAGAACCAAAATTTAATAGTATTAATGCCCCTTTATACGCAAGCTACAGTGCCACATTTCATTTCTTAAACTTTACCCATTCTGAGATATTAAACAATATCTCAGGGTGAAAACATGAAAGGGGTCATGTGTCATATCTCTTAATATTTTACTTGTTATTAATTAAATTAAATTTATTTATATTGTACTCGTTACAGAAAACAAAGAAATTAAACAAATTAGATGCCAACACATACATACGCGTGCGAATTTTTCCCCTTTTATTGACTTTTTCAACGGGTTCAGGAGGTCTCCAAAAGTGTAGATTTGCAAAAAAACCTGGAGGGTCAAATTTGACACAATTCCAATACTTTTCCGTTTTATATACATAACAAGTTGGTAAGTAAAAGGAGTTGGAGTTGGCAGATTTTTTGACGACTTCGACTCTGGCTAAAACATCAAAACTCCATGACTCTGACTCCACAGCCCTGACAATAACTAAAAACACTGGATAAAAAATGAGAAAACTGTATGATAGTGATAAATACAAATGTCACAAAACAAGTAATGTTCAGCAGTCCTATCTCCATGCTCTTATGCACATCCCACATAATAAATATTCATTTTAAATGGTATATTATAACATTGTCTTGATGGCATTTTATATGTTAAATGAGCAATTATTTTGGTTAAAAACTATTTTTCATCTCCAATTCATATTCATTGGCTCCAATTTTTCATCACAATGCACTCAATTTTAAAGTATCAATATGATGTACAGGGTCAAAAGCCCCCTGCACACCATATTGACATATTTTTCTCATTAACAATGGAGTCATTCTGGTTATCTATCTAACTCTGCTCAGGAGAAAGTTTTGAATTCAAATAAAGTCACTTCTGGTCCAAAGCAGAAGTTCATATATAGTTAATCAGGCTTCCTGCTCCTAAGCTTTCCATATCTTGTCTCAAATTTCATCTAACTGTTCTTAAGATTAAGGAAGGATGAGCAGACATAAATACCAGTAGAAATTTATAGGTCTAAAATTTTTGAAAATTGCAGCCCACAAAGTTTAGCACTTGTTAGTAGCAAAGAAATCATTGAAACTAATGTGACTATAGAGTAGAACAACAAAGTATCTAAACATCAAAAACAGCTAAAATAAATTGAAGTAGTAAAATAAAATAGCTATAAATAACAGACTAAGGAATATTTGATAAAATAAATTTCAAAAATAATTAGTAGTATCATACAGTAAATATTAATTAAGTTTGATCTTAAGAGTTAAAAAATTTTATATATAAATTTACATATTATAAAAAACGCATCTTTGAAAAAAGTGTATTAAGTGAATCACAATATAGATGCTAACTTTCCAAACCAATTCATATTAANGGAAAATGACTGTCTTTTTATTTATTAACAAATTATCATCCAGTGAAAAATTTTAAAACTATCTGAATGACGGAATCTTTCTTCCTCGAGTGGCTGAAGCTCGTCTAAGAAAATTTAATAAATGTAAAAGTTTAATCAGTATTAAAATGTTGAAAGTAATATATAAAATGTATTGTTATAAAAAAAGATTAGAAGAATCACATTAAAATTTTAATATGACTCTAAACATATGTTTAAAATCTATGAAGTCAAAAAGTAAAAAATTTATTATTATTAATTATCATCATTTACTATTAAAATTAATAAGAAAAAAACCATGACTTGATAGATATTCTTAATAATAGTTTTAAACCAAAAAATCCTGAAAAATTTTATAATTTATTTTTAATATTAAAACATTAAAATTAAGAATTAATTTTTTGATTCCTTTCAGATTTATTAAAAAGAAAAGAAAAGAAACGTGTAAAGTTAGCAAACGATGTAAAAAACTAAATCATACATGGTTTATCCGCAAACGTCACAGTTTTCTCAAACGTAAAAATATCATTTGTGGTTTTTGGCTGAGGATTTTCTTGACTAATGCGACGAGACTGCGGTCGTGACGGACTTGCTTTAGGCGACAAGGAATGCAGAGGTTTTTTAGTGTGCTAAAATACATTTCTCTATTAAACACATGAAACTTAAAATTTAAAATTAGTAAGTTACAGGCAACCTACTGTTTTAATTAACTGTGTAGTTAATCCCAGATAATGATGAAGAGCAGTAAAAGTAACTCTCTGTAACCTAACCATAACTGCTTGTGTCAACCTTACTAATGATTCTGGATTTCGTTTCAGAAGAACTTTAAATGCTTCAACTGGTAACCTATTTAAATAAATGAAAAAATTACACAAAGTACTTTTTTTTAGTGGTAACACTGCTAGAAATCTGTTCCTAAGGCACTATCCATGAAACCATTGCTAATAGTTTCCCCAATTTGTGTGTAGTTAGTGGTAAAGTTGTGTATTGCTGGCATTAATAGTTGAGCAATGATGAGTGTCAAAAAGATGTTTATATTATGCTGTCGGGAAAAAAAAAATCAAGATTGCACACAACAACAAAATATTCATTAATGCTGCAAGCAACTTTAGAAATATGATGGAGGATTACTGTATTTTTGTCAAAAATGGACAGATACTTTTTGATATTAATAGAAAAACATTGAGCATGAATAATCAATGCATATCTGTAGATTGTTGATTGACATGAAAGGAATTGAGTGTCAATATAAATATTGCTTTTCAACTATGTATAGTATTAACATTAATAAAACTAGTAAATAGCCATGATGATAATTACATTTAAAATTTACAAGAAAAAATTTTTTTAAAATTTTCACAAGTTAACAGAAGAAAACACAGCTGCTTCATCTCTTCATCCTTTTCACATCTGAGGAACAAAGTCTTATGGTAGGATTTCATTGGCCTCAATATGTAAAAAAGTTTTCCGTTGGCAATGAGTAAAATCATAAATATATATATACATTAACTCTTTAAACATGAAATCTGTTAAAATCAGCTTAATCCATTTGAAATGAAATCAGCAAATAAAAAAGTTGTTTAATTAACTGGTTTTTCTACAACTTTCCCTTGTTGCCTGAGGAGTAAAAACAATTTTGTCTCCAGGAACATAGAAAGACAAAATTCTCAGAGCTTAAAAAATTAATAAAACTAGTAAAATCTAGTAAATAGCCAGGATGATAAACTTCTGTTAACTATTTTGTGAAAAAAAATTACCTTCTTCTCATTAACTGAAATGAATTACAAAGCACAATCAACAAAACCTTTAACATTCAGTAATGAAATTTAATGTAAAATTTGAATGTTTTTGATCTGCATCAAGTCTGCATCAGGTCAACATTGTATTCAAAACTGGAATGATCAGAACATAAATTTTAAAAAAATTCTTAACCATATTTTAAATAATTTTAACCTAATAATTTAAAAACATGTTTAAAATGTTTTGAAAACTTATAAATTAAATATAAATTCTATTATATAAGTAACTGTATACAAAAATAATGTTATAGTTTTTATACTTTAACATTTAATAAAAATAATGGAAACAATGTACTTTATTGGTAGAAACACATGGCATAGTTGAATTGCTACATTTAAATCTGAGATGTGTAACTTTGGATCAACATGCTATCTATATAAACATAATGGAAATAGTTAAAGCATGACCTATGGAAATAAAAGTTGCACTTAACCCATTAATTATTTTTATAATTTATTTTCTCCCCAATAAAAAGAAAAATGAGCAAAATTTGCCTTTTCTAACGTTTTTTTTGCACAATGAATATGAATAAGTACAATATCATAAAAATATAAAGTACAAAAACAAATATTCAAGAAACAATCTTAATTTTCTCTCAATGAATATAAACAGTAAAAAACAGTAGATGTATTATTTCAGTGATTACTCTATTTCTCTTGGCTTTCTATCAAAACAATTATGCAACCTTGAATGTGGTAGAAGTTTTTTTGAGTTCAAAAGCTGATGAGCATACAAGATGGCATAATGTAATTAGGGAGGGGGGAAAAATCATTCAAGCAACACATGCCTAAAAAATGAGAAAAATGTTTTTTAACAATGCATAAAAATTATATTAAATAGCCATCATATTTGTGTTAATTTTGTTAATAAAAAGGATCATGGCCCAATGTAATAATTTATGTCCCACTATTGTGGTGCTTAATATGTTAAGACAAATCAGTAACATTGAAATATTTAATACTTTTGTTGTGTTTTTAATTACTTGCTGTGTTTTTACTTCTCTTTTGTGACAATGCTCAAAGCATCCCTATGTTTTGGCACAACTTGACTGAAGGCTTGACACTGCATTTGTGATGACAAAGTTGTCAGTATGACACCAGTCTTTTAGACAGATACAAACCTTTTTGCACGAGCCATAGTGTCTGTAGACACTTGGACTCAGGATGGAGACAGATTGGGCAAAAGAAGTGCATTTTACAACTTTATTACAAAAAATAATACCCGTTTATTGATTATATAAACTATTTACACATATAAGCTTTAAGCGAGAGAGAGAGAGAGAGAGACAAACATTCATGCAAAGTATTTACCTGAAGATCTCTCTCTTGATTTGGGCCTTTTTTTAGAGAAGGAGATACTATAGTCCTTGATGTGTATGTGGGGCCATAGATTATTAGTGGTTAAGCTTCTTATTGCTGGCTATTGGCGGAGTATCCGCAGCAAAGTGTATCCTAGTGCGCGCACACACAACCAATCTTCAAGGATGGACAGACTCTTCTGTCAGACAAACTCCTGGTATCAATATCAGACATTGCCTTTTTTATTTGAGGATCTTTCCTCTTTTCTTCCATTACATTTTTTTGGTAAAGTAATACCAAAAAAAGGGTAATGGAAAAAAAGAGGAAAGATCCCAGGTATTGACACTAGGAGTTCGTCCGACAGAAGTCTGTCCATCCTTGAAGGTTGGTTGTGTGTCTCCACGTCCAATACCAATTTTGTTGTTAAGTTCCTGGTGACACATTTAATGTGTCACCTTAAATAAGAAATCAAGTATGTGGGAAAAGTTATAATCATATCCTTTAGGATTTTTTTTCTTTCTGGGCTCTCACATCACACCGGCCTTTCCAAAATCGTGCTTGGTCCCAAAAGAGCAAGTTCAATTTTCAGTTTGCTCCTAGCAGTCAGTGTGACAATTTACAATGAAAAAAGAAGAAAAAAAAAATAATAATAATCGCTCTCTTTTGATGAGCTATGTAACATTAACAAAATGCCGTCTGTTGGGATCCCTAATTAATTCTGCTAATTGCTGCAATCATTTTTTGTCTGATTTGTTTTCCGTCTGGCTTTATTTGTGTATGTGGGAGATGATTTTCTAACGAGTATGCAGCTTTGCAGCAGATGTAGCATTGTAGTCAGTGTTGTGTCTAAAGTTCCTTGACCTTGTGAAGGGATCAATCTTCGAGAAAATGACTACAGGCAAAAATGGGATGCCTAAAATCATAAGCATCATAGTGAAGAGGACTATTATGGCTTTGAGTAATATTTTAAAGCTTAGGGTTTGATTGGGCTGTGGTTGTTTTTCTCGTTTTCGAGTTGCATCTGAGTGACCTTGTTTTTCCTCGTTTCTTACTTCTGCTTGAGTTGATATAGGATTTACTTCAGTTCTGAATGGCTCCTCATTTTTAAGTTTCACCCCATTCCTGTTGGGAAAATTGAAATTGGTTCGTTATCCTTCTCTTCTGTGGATCGGATCGTTTGTTGACCCTTCTCTTCATCTTTTTAAGAGCGAATTTTATTAGAATCTGACATATTGAATCTGTCTCTTCTCTCTTTCTTGAGGTTTATCTTTAATTTTCTCTCCTCCTATTATTTCTTGGGTTCTTTCCCATGGTCGGACAACTCTGACAACAGTTTCTCTGTTGGTCAGGATCCTCCTTGCTTGTGCTTGTTTGGTTTTCTCCCTTGGCTTGGAGGACTCTTGGAAGCTTATTCCTCTTCCATTGGAAAGTGCTATTGTTTTGTCTGCCATATTTATTCCTAACCTTAGGTCGGTAATTATAGCTCTTCCTAGTAATCTGTCAAATGGATACACGATGTGATCATCAATGATGTAACATATGTAAAGAAATTGTAGAGGGCTTATTTTGAATCAGAATTTGTTTCTTCCACATAGATATTGTTTTGAAGAGTCACCGGACAAAATCTCTCTTTTCTATCGTATGTTCTATGAAGTTTGCCTATTTTCTGCACTAGGGACCTTGACAAGAGTTACTTTCAAGCCTGTGTCTACAGCTAATTGCATCTTGGTGAAATTAATTTGACAGTATAATCGCAACTCCTCATCTTGAACTCTATCCTTAGAATAATTTGTAGTTTCATTGAATCAAGATTTTGATCTCATATGACTTTTGTCTCTCCTGCCTATAGCTTCCTCTATTTTCTTGCCCGTTTCTATTGTTCCTCCTTTCATGCCACTGTATCTGGGGTTGAGGTTGTTCCATTCGAGTTTTCCAATTAGTTCATGAGCCACTTGTTCTATTTCTTGTTCTATATTGAAAATTGTCTGAGTTTGCATGCTGCCTACTATGTTTCTTGAGTCGTCCTGTTGATCTCTAAATCTATTTCTATCATCTTGATAGCATTTTTCCATGCAAATGCAGGATTTTTATATCTAGGGTCATCTCCGACTTTTGTGATGCCTTAATTCATCTAATTGTTTCTGTATTTGCCTGATCATCTAATCTATTTTTCTATTAGTACGGTCTGCTAGTTTGTCTTCATCTATCGACTCTAATGACAAATTTGCTGTTTAATTGATATATTGTTTCTTCACTGATGGCCACCTGTACCATTCTATCAAAAGTTTCTGGCTCTCAACATCACTTGTCTTTTAATTATAGGATTAAAGCCCCTTAAAAATTGCATTCTTAGCCGCTTGTCCCTTTCTTTAAATTGACATCTTTTTTGATTTCTGATTCATGGGCATCATCACTAGCCTGCTCTATGATCGTTTCTGATACTAGCATCTGCAGCCTAACTGCATATGTTTGTGTATCTTCGTCACAATTCCTGTATGCTGTACACACGTGTAAAATCTTCGAAGGCAAAGCAAATAGGGCTCTCTTTTGAACCTCTTTATCATTTCTTTTTTTGAAGTCATCACATTTCTTGGTTTCTTTCATGCAAGCATCTTTCCATGTGAATTCACTTGCAATACCTGTTAGCCTTATTTTGCAATCCCTAAACATTGGTATTTTGACCAGACTGTCAATTTCATGATTTGATCTATTGATTTAAGAAATCTGCCTACTTTTAATCCTGTTGGGTCTATAGAAAATGTCGGAACTAAAGGGATCATACTGCCTATACTGCTGCCACAAGTGCACTTTTGTTTCTCCTCTTGTTTCCATCCTTGCCCCCCTTTGTTTTTTCTCTGATTTGGTCTCTAATTTGCCCTTACTGTCGCTCTGCCACTACTGTGACCTATGATTGGAGGAGTTCACCTTTTTCTCAGAGCCTAATTTTTCCAAAGGTTATGTTTTTGCATCGGTCTTTTGTTTTTGTACTTCCGGGGGACCTGGGGGCCTTAAAATCCCACTTCTAATACCAGTGTGACAACATCCGAAGCACCCCTTATGCTTCAGCACAACTTGACCAAAGGGTTGCTAGTGTTTGCGATGACAAAGTGTTCAAACACCACTGTTTTTTGGACATATCCATATATTTTATATCTACTGGATAAATAGAATACAACCAAAAAAACACCTTTAAAAATCCAGCAAAGTAAATTTTCTCTGCTGGATTTTTAATGGTCCAGGTAGTATAACTAACTAACACATAGTGCACTACAGTTTACATAATGAGTTTTTTTCTTCTAGAGTACGCAAAGTTAAAAATTTATATATTTTGTATCTACTGGATAAATAGAATACAACAAAAAACACACCTTTAAAAATCCAAAAACGAAAATTTACTAAATAAGATTTTGATCACAGCCTTCAAGCAACAAAACATCAACATACTTCGATGGACCAGAAACAAAGTGGTTTTAAATTATATACCTTTTTTAAGAAGAATACATAAAAAAGCAGCCAGAACTAATAATCTCAAGGTTGTATATTAATGCAACCCAACAAAATTCAGAATTTTAAGGAATGATAAAAAAAACCATATAACTGTAGTTCGGCTGCGGGGATTTACTCCATCCCATTAATTAACAAACATTTCAAATCAAAACTGGTCTACATGGATGCCACTATGCGCAACTTACAATAACAGCTCAAAGAACAAATATACAATTGATAAAAATCTCAATAACAACGCTGGCAGCTTATGCACATCATCAGGACATTCAGGTGCAATGGGAGCAGGCATCAATCATCAAACCAGCATCGAATATTCATACTATAAGAATATCTGGAAAGATTGGAGATTTTTAATGCACACAAAAAAACCGGTTGCATCAACCATAGAAATGCAGACACCTTGGCTACCTTGTGGCAGTCTTTTTAAGAAAGTTAATTTTATTAAGGAACAATTATTATCTATTTTTACTTTTTATTGTTTATTTTATTTCTGTAGTTATTTATTTAATATTTGCAACTACAATTTCAGTTATTTATTTATGTATTTATTTTAGAATTCTGGTTATCGTTTATTTTTAAATTTACATTCTATTTTCACGTTCTATTTTATCATAACTAAGGACGATCGGTTAAACAAACCAAAAACGTTTTTATTTAGTAAATTTTCTTTGCTGGATTTTTAAGGTGTGTTTTTTGTCATAGTCTTTTGGCCAAACACAAACCTTTTCATGCAAGCTGTAATGTCTGCACTTGGACTCAGGATGGAGAAGGATTGGGTGAAAGAATTGCACTTTACAACAACTCGATTATATAATCAATAAACAGGTATTATTTTTTGTAAACTATAAACACGCAAACTTTAAGTGTGAGAAAGAAAGAATTTACAAACGTTCGCATCAGATTGCTCTCAATTTGGGCCTTTTTTCAGAGGAGGCGATACTATAGTCTTTGATGGGTACTTGGGATCATTGATTATCGGTGGTTAAGCTTCTGATCACTGGCTATTGGCAGAGTATCCACAGCAAAGTGTATCCTAATGCACACACGACCAACCTTTGAGGACAAACAGACTCTTCTGTCAGACGAACTCCTGGTGTCAATATCAGACATTGCCTTTTTTATTTGGGGATCCTCCCACTTTCTTCCATTGCCTTTTTTTTGGTAAAGTAAATTTCTACGTCCAATACCAATTTTGTTGTTAAGTTCCTGGTGACACATTTGATTTGATTGGTTCTTATCTTAACACATTTGATTTGTCACCTTAAATAAGGAAGCAAGTATGTGGGAAAAGTTATCATATCCTTTAGGAATTTTTCCTTTTGAAAAATTTTTTTTGAATAAAATTTTTTCATCAAGTCTGGGCTCTCTCACTTTTTATTTTCAGTTCTGATTTTTTAGTAGAAAATTCTCAAAATAAACTTCAAATTAAATATTTAAGAACAAGTGTTTATCATCTTATACAAATGCCTGAATTACTTATTGTTATTACCGATTTGAATATTTTACCAATGCATACAAGTGTTATATAATGTTTATAAAATAATATATTTTACATAATAAGTTCTATTATACGGCTGAAGCTACATCTATTTTCATAAATAACTTTCATATTAATATAATTTTTTAAAATTATTCCACAAAATAAACACAGACCAAACTGATAAATATCTTTATAACAACTAATATCATTATATCATCATCAGTCAAGAAAGAATGTTTTAATTTATGAAAATTTACCTTAGAACATTACAGTCTTCTAAAGCTTTTGCTGATACAGTTTTATATTGTGCAGGATGACCCTAAAAACAAATTTTTGAAAAAAAGTATTAAAAACCATTTTAAAACTTAATTGTAAAGTTAATCATTAATTCAGTGGTCTAATAATTCTAACTTACTTTCCTAGAAGTTAACATAATAAAATGGTTAGAAGATAAAGAAATATTTTTAAACTAATAAATTTTTTCAATATTTACATTTTTACCATCTATACTAGATATTCTCAAACTTTATTGAGCAACTATGAACTTCACACTGTAACCTTATAATACATTGTTCTCCGTATCTGAAAACTATTAAACACAATGTTTCTTCTTATCCATTTTAAATAAAGGAAAGGCAAAGGTTGTCAGTAAACCCAACCTTAGCCTATAGTCACTGTTCAGTCAAGACCCTGCCATTCCCTTTCTTCTTTTTTTGCCCCCTAGGGGCAGCAGCACTCACTTTGGGAACACTGATCTATACTTAGAATTTTTAATAAAATTTCTCTCTAATCAAATTCCAAAAACAAAAAATTTTGACAGAAGTAGATTTTGATATTTTTAACAATATAAAATTACCTATCAAAGTATATATTTAACATAATTTTTTTTAAATCATCTCAAAAATGATTTACTGTATAAAACTGAGAATCAATGGAGAAAGGTGACAAATAAAAAAGCAAAGTTATTTTTACATTCAAGTGTTTTTTAAAGAAAAATTTATGTAGTACATATGTCAATATATTCTGACTTTCACAATTTTACAATATAGTATAAATATAAGATCACATGCCATCTGTTGTCACTAGTTACAATCATGTACTTTCTTATCTCTTGATAGATAAATTAAAAAGTTTCATAATCAAACCAGTTTGTTTTTAATATTAGAGCTATTATAGTCAAATTTTCAAAATTAGAAAAGAGCTAACTTTGTAAATAATGTTGGCTATTTTCTTCTCTCAAACATTGACAATTTTATTTGATGTTTTCTTCTAAGCTTGTGACAACTGAAATAAAATTCTTTATATAAAGATTAGATTTTATTATAAGATGATTTTGATTTACAAGACTGTTACAACAACAATTGATATAAAAGTTCTTAAAAAACTTTTAAGTGTCATCATATAATTTTGACAATATTGCATAAAGTGAATTTTAATCTGATAGGCAAAATTATTTGAATATTACATGTATGTGACAGCTTTAATAAAAGGATTATTTTGCATTAGTTTGATTATAATAAAAATTAATTTGTCAACTAATATGATATATATTACAGTAGAGCGTCAATTATCCGAAAGAATTCCAGTCGGCAAATTTAAATTTTTGCCAGTGCTGTAGCGCTTCAATCTTTGGCTATGTCTTGGGCTACTCAAATATTTTATGTTTTTGATACTAAATTAACATCTGAAGTATAATTTTTTATTGTTTTTATATTTTTCAATATATTTATTTTGTTTGTACAAAATAAAAAAATTATTTTTAACGATACAATAGTCTTCGTTAGGCATAACATCGACGAAAATTCAACGCAAAACGACATGCAACAGAGAAAAATTTCAACATGGGATACGTTAATATTTTTTCGTACATAATCGGTTATCCAAAATAGCGATTTTTGAATAACCCCAGTCCCCAATTGATTCGGATAATCAATGCTCTACTGTATTTATATAATGTATTTCTACTGCAAATAAGACTTACATTATTGTAAACTACAACAAACACTAGCATTGTTTAACTTCAAATAAACTTTTGACAAAAACATATCTTAAATATATCAAAAATAATATTTCTGGACAAATTATTGAGAAATTCATGATGATTTGTATCAGTATTTGACATTAAACTGCTTTTTAGCATAACATTTGAAAAAAAATTGACCAGATCCATTATTTTTACTGACAAAAGTAAATATTTGAAAATTTTTAATCAATAGTGAATATATGAAGTTGCAAGTTAAACAAGCTAATAATTCAAATCATACTACTTACAGTTAAAACATCCATTATACTTAAAAGACTTGCAATACTTTCTCCTTCATTTACTTTCTTCAGATGTAATTCTCTGCCATCCTAATATAGAAATACAAACAAAAATTTTAATTTTTTTTAAATGATACAAAGCAAGTTAAATAAACATGCCTTCAAATTTTGTAACTCAAATTTCATCCACTTTTAATTAAGATAGAATTCTGAAACTTTGAAGGACATATCTTTGAGGACAATGCATTTTATTGTTTTTTTTAGGGATCCCCACCATCCTCTTCACCCAGAAACCCAACATACAAACAAATGTAGAATTTAATCACATAAGCTGATTACCCTAAATGATGTCTTTATATTAAATATCTGAATGATTACATACAATGATTTAAAGGAAAAGTAACCACCAAATTCAGATAAAGAAAAATATTTTGACTAAGTATAAATGTTTAGCAATTTTAACAACAATGGTAAATGATTTACTGAGGATATATTGCCACAATTTTTCACATTATATGCATATTTCATCTGTAATGATCAGTCAGCATAGATAAGATAGGAAACATTAATGTGTGTGTGAGACTTACACAAGTATAGGCTTACCAGATTGGCTCTTCAAAGTCATAATCTCAATAGGTAGGCAGGCTTGAAGGGCATAAGTCTTATCAAGACTGCCAGATGGGCATATAGATGCCTTGATTTCTAAATTCTAGGAAACAATGACAAGCTTAGGCATATGCAAATTTTTTTTATGTCTGGAGCAATTGTGTGCGAATTCTAAGCAAATTTTCACTTTTTCAAAAAAAGGGGCTAAAATTGCAAAATATTAACATAAATTTGAGAATTAGCCAAAAATTTTCCAAAATTTAGTGCAAAATAGGTTCAAATGAAAATATTTTTGGGCCTGGAACAACGAAAAAATCTGGCCGCCACGTCTTATTTACAAGTACCAGTACATACCAGTGCTGTATTTTTAACAGATGTAATATCTAATGTATTACAACTTGTAATGTTGTACAAAGTACACAATAAATGACTGATGCGACTTGTGGATTACTTAAGTTGACTCACATTTACGAACAGTCAAACATTTACACTGACTTGCAAAATTTTTAGACTAACATATGTTCTGTACTATTTAAACTAAAACAATCTCAGACACAAAGTAAACAGCTAAGATATCTTATTAACTTATAATTTCATTAACAACTGGACCAAGTTATGCAAAAAGCTACCTACCTTCTACATACTGTACTTAAACTGAGTATATCACAATTAAAGTTTTTCATTTTCAAACAAAATATAGACTGGATTAGTCATTGAACTTTACAAATATTAACAGTAGCTGTTGTGTTTGGTTATTTCTGTAAAATGAAGATTAAACAATATCAAATTCACACACTTCAACTCATTTTTGTACATTTGACGATTGATAGCCTTTTGCATAACTAAGCCCAAATTTGTTTCTCTTTCTGTCCCTTGAGCACAAAAAGGGTTTATTATTAGAATCAACATTATTTAATTCTAATAATAATTTCCTGCATTAAGAATTTACAAATTATTTATAAATTTCATTACATTAGAGAAAGTAAGCACAAGTTTTATAAAATATCAATTATAATTTGATATTCATTAAAATTATAAAATATTGTTTTATATAACAATTATCAAGCTAATAAGTTAAGTTATAATAATTAGGTTGATAATTATGTAATTATTTTCAACCTAAAAGTTAAAAAACCTTAAAGTTAGATGCTAATTATGACTTATCTAAAGTTCACTAAAAACAATATAAATTACTGAATACTTACAGATTCTGTTATGAATACTGTTAATTAAACGACCACTTTGGACAACATATATACTATCATCTGGATCTCCAATAGAAAACATCATCTGTCCTGCATATACTTGAATATTTTGAAGTGTTTTACATAATTCCAAAAATAAAGGCTTTTCATAAAATCCAAATATTCTAGAAAATTTAATGTATATATAATTTGTATTAAAGTTACTAATGTATGGATAATTAAAAGATATAATTTACTCAATATTTTAAACCAAAATAAATACAGAATATGTCATTGCAGATTTGATTGTAAAAGATGTCCCATTAACAGTGTCAGATGTAAATTGCATGCCACTGGCATTTCACATTGTTGTGGCCTTGAAATAATCATTGTTTATCAGAAATTAGGACATGTGTTTCCAAAACTGATTTCCAGGCTATGTCGTCTCAAGCATTATTGACCTTAACTGGCTACTAGTTCTGATCAATATTGGTGATTTGTCACCCTGCAACTGTGGAAGTTTGCCAAACCTTGTGTTTGCTAATAACCCAGAAACAATTGCTGACCCCAAGACAGGTTCAACATTTTATTGGTGATATTGAGACAGAATTATGCAATAATGTCTTAACCCCTTTAGTTCTTCGCCCGAGTTAACTCGGGCAGGCTATATAGCCTTACATAAAACGTGGTCCTTAAGGCCAATTTTTGAAAATTTTTTTTTTTTTTAATTTTTGGAATGTTTTTTAGGTCCCCAAATTTTTTCAAAATTTTTTGACCGCGCAAAAAAATTTTATCGCGCTTTTAATTAGCCTTTGATAAGGCTCGATTAAGGCTTAATTGTTTTTTAATGGGAGTTTTTTATCAAATTTATTTCATGGTTCCTGAGTTGTAGTGCACGAATTTTTCTTCGGTAAAGTTATTTAAAGCTAGTTTCTGATNGCTGCCACAAGTGCACTTTTGTTTCTCCTCTTGTTTCCATCCTTGCCCCCCTTTGTTTTTTCTCTGATTTGGTCTCTAATTTGCCCTTACTGTCGCTCTGCCACTACTGTGACCTATGATTGGAGGAGTTCACCTTTTTCTCAGAGCCTAATTTTTCCAAAGGTTATGTTTTTGCATCGGTCTTTTGTTTTTGTACTTCCGGGGGACCTGGGGGCCTTAAAATCCCACTTCTAATACCAGTGTGACAACATCCGAAGCACCCCTTATGCTTCAGCACAACTTGACCAAAGGGTTGCTAGTGTTTGCGATGACAAAGTGTTCAAACACCACTGTTTTTTGGACATATCCATATATTTTATATCTATTGGATACAACCCAAAAAAAAAAAAAAAAACCTTTAAAAATCCAGAAAAGAAAATTTACTAAATAAGAACGTTTTGATCGCAACCTTCAAGCAGCAAAACATCAACATACGTTGCTGGACCAGAAACAAAGAGTGATTTTAAATTACATCCCTTTTTTAAGAGGAATACATAAAGCAGCCAGAGCTAATAATCTCAAGGTTGTATATTAATGCAACCCAACAATATTCAGGATTTTAAGGAATGATAAAAAAACCATATAACTGTAGTTCGGCTGCAGGGATTTACTCCATCCCATTAATTGACCAACGTTTCAAATCAAAACTGGTCTATGTGGATGCCATTATGCACAACTTACAATAACAGCTCAAAGAACATAAATATACAATTGATAAAAATCTTGATAACACTGCTAGTAGCTTATGTACATCATCAGGACATTCAGGTGTAATGGGAGAAGGCATTTGCATCGAATATACATACTATGAGAATATCTGGAAAGATTGGAGATTTTTAATGCACACAAAAAAACCAGTTGCATCAACCATAGAGATGTGGACACCTTGGCTACAGCATGGCACTTTTTATGAAAGTTAATTTTATTAAGGAACATTTATTCGTCTATTTTTACTTTTTATTGTTTATTTTATTTCTGTAATTATTTATTTAATATTTGTAACTACAATTTCAGTTATTTATGTATTTATTTCAGAATTCTGGTTATCGTTTATTTTTAAATTTACATTCTATTTTATCATAACTAAGAAAGATCGGTTAAACCAACCGAAAACGTTTTTATTTAGTAAATTCTCTTTGCTGGATCTTTAAAAGTGTGTTTTTTATCATAGTCTTTTGGCCAGACACAGAAACCTTTTCGTGCAAGCTGTAGCATCTGTAGGCATTTAGACTCGGGATGGAGAAGGATTGGACAAAAGAAGTCTATTATATAATCAATAAACAGGTATTATTTTTTGTAAACTATTTACACATATAAACTTTAAGTGAGAGAAAGAAAGAATTTACAAACGTTTGCATGAGATTGCTCTCGATTTGGGCCTTTTTTTGGAGGAGGAGATACTATAGTCCTTGATGGGTACTTGGGGTCATTGATTATTGGTGGTTAAGCTTCTGATCACTGGCTATTGGCAGAGTATCCACAGCAAAATGTATCCTAATGCACACACGACCAACCTTCGAGGATGGACGGACTCTTCTGTCGGATGAACTCCTGGTGCCAATATCAGACATTGCCTTTTTTATTTGGGATCCTCCCTCTTTCTTCCATTGCCCTTTTTTGGTAAAGTAAATCTCCACATCCAATACCAATTTTGTTGTTAAGTTTCTGGTGACACATTCAATGAGTCACCTTAAACAAGAAAGCAAGTCTGTAGGAAAAGTTATAATTATATCCTTTAGAATTTTTCCTTTTGAAACATTTTTTCGTCAAGTCCAGACTCGCTCACTTTTTATTTTCAGTTCTGATTTTCTAGTAGAAAATTCTCAAAATGTTTTTAAATATTTAATTTGGAGTTTAAGGTTTAAGTGTTTATCATCTTACACAAATGCCTAAATTATTTATGGTTATTATTAATTTGAATATTTTACCAATGCATACAAGTGTTATATAATGTTTATAAAATAATAAATTTTACATAGTAAGTTCTATTATATGGCTGAAGCTACATCTATTTTCATAAATAACTTTCATATTAATATAAGTTTTTAAAACTATTCCACAAAATAAACACAGACCAAACTGATAAATATCTTTATAACAACTAATATCATTATATCATCATCAGTCAGGAAAAGAATGTTTTAATTTATGGAAATTTACCTTAGAACATTACAGTCTTCTAAAGCTTTTGCTGATACAGTTTTATATTGTGCAGGATGACCCTAAAAACAAATTTTTGAAAGTAAGTATTAAAAACCATTTTAAAACTTAATTGTAAAGTTAATCATTAATTCATAGTGGTCTGGTAATTCTAACTTACTTTCCTAGAAGTTAACATAATAAAAAGGTTAAAAGATAAAGAAATATTTTTAAACTAATAAATTATTTCAATGTTCAAATTTTTACCATCTATACCAAATATTCTCAAACTTTCTTCAGCAACTATGCACTTCACATTGTATCCTTATAATACATTGTTCTCCATATCTGAAAACCATTAAACATAATGTTTCTTCTTATCCATTTTCATGAAGGAAAGGCAAAGGTTGTCAGTAAACCCAATCTTAGCCTATAGTCACTGTTCAGTCAAGACCCTGCCATTCCCTTGTTTCTTTTTTGCCCCTAGGGGTACAGCACTCACTTTGGGAACACTGATCTATACTTAGAATTTCTAATAAAATTTCTCTCTAATTAAATTCCAAGAACAAAAAATTTTGACAAACAGTTTTTGATATTTTTTAACAATATAAAATTACCTATCAAAGCATATATTTAATATAATTTTTTAAAAATCTTCTCAAAAATGATTTACTGTATAAAACAGAATCAATGGAGAAAGGCGACAAATGAAAAAGCAAAAGTTATTTTTACATTCAAGTGTTTTTTAAAGAAAAATTTATGTAGTACATATTTCAATATATTCCGACTTTCACAATTTTATAGTATAAAGATAAGATCATATGCCATCTGTTGTCACTAGTTATATTCATTTACTTTCTTATCTCTTGATAGATAAATTAGAAAGTTTCATAATCAAACCAGTTTGTTTTTAATATTAGAGTTATTATAGTCAAATTTTCAAAATTAGGAAAGAGCTAACGTTGTAAATAACGTTGGCTATTTTCTTCTCTCAAACATCGACAATTTTATTTGATGTTTTCTTCTAAGCTTGTAACAACTGAAATAAAATTCTTTATATAAAGATTAGATTTTATTATAAGACTAGCTGCAAGGACCCGCTTCACTGGGTTTTTATTTGTTTGTACATTTGTATGTAATATAGTTTTTTTTTTATATATATAAAAGACTGTTTTTCTAAGTAATCTAGCTGCAAGGACCCGCTTCGCTGGTCAAATAGTAACGATAGCAAAGATTAAGATAATTACATTATAGCCAATCTTACCAGTTTTCACAGAATGCAAGAATTAGGTCCCCCGTTTCCAGACTAATTAGAGAATTTTTACGTTTAGTCAAACGAACTATTTTCAATTTGATCAATTTTCTGGAACATTTACAATCGTTCTATAATTGAACATATTTGAATTTAAAATGGTTCGAACATTTTTAAAATAAAATCAAAATAGAAAATCTTCGAAGTCAACCACTTTAAACCCCATATCTCCCGCACCCTTATAGCTATCAAGATGCAACCACCATAGTGCACGAATAAAGAGTTGGGGCTACTACCACATACAAACACCATTCATTCATGTGCGATGTGTAGTTTTGGCTGAAAAGTGAAATATAGGGACACACACATCCATTTTTATATATATATATACTAGCTGCAAGGACCCGCTTCGCAGGGTTTTTATTTGTGGGCAAAAAGTAACGATAGTGAAGATTAAGATAATTACATTATAGCCAATCTTACCCGTTTTCACAGAATGCAAGAATTAGGTCCCCCGTTTCCAGACTAATTAGAGAATTTTTACGTCCAGTCAAACGAACTATTTTCAATTTGATCAATTTTCTGGAACTTTTACAATCG